TGTTAAACTGATCATCATCTTTTTTTTCAGGGAATCTGGTAACTCCTGTCCAGATATATGATTACAACACAGCTTCAAAGTCACAGCAAAATAAGCATTTAGGCTTTTTAGCATTTAGGCTGTTTCTGTTTATGGATACAATGGTGATTGTTATCCTTCCCATATGCTACCTGAGCATCAAGGCTGATTATCTGGTGGGGAGGAGGAAATACAGAATTTTGTTCTTTAAGTCTGTGACGTGGACTAGCCAGAAAATTACAATATACACAAGGCTCTTCAAAGTACAGCCAAATACATCTAGCTAAAAATATTTTAAACTGCTCACTTAGGTGATGTATTACACAGAGACAAGCAAACACACATTAAATTAACAACTCCATGAAACAAGGACATTCCACTCTCTTCTTGCTACTACCATAGCTAGACATTGGACCACAAAGATGGTGGCTGTATGTGTTAAAGCCAAGTAGGGATTTAGCCACCCAACTCTTGAATTTCAAACCTAAATTCTTTTGGCTTTGTAAATCTCAACCAGTTTATTTTGTGACAGCCAAGATTCAGTACTATAGGGAAAGTGAACAAAACAGAGCTCTCCAATTTGGGGGGCTAATTAACCTATAATCCTTGGTGTTACACAGAGCTGTATTTCCTAAAATGCCGCAGCAACACTAGTGACTTAAATAGGTTACTGGGCTGTTAAACTGCATATATTTGGTATTAATACCCACACTTCATTAACTTATTCAGATTTCTATGATAAAAGAAGCCCCCTTGACAAAACCAAGACATGTTATAAAAGCACTAGTTCCTTCTCAAATCCCACTTTTAATTCTGTACTTCCACATACTCTAGATATAGCAAAGGTGAATTCCAAAGTGAAGGGTATTCCAAGGGTAATTCACTCTGGCATTGTGTATTTTGTCTCCTTAGAAAAAAGCCTCTCAGCACCATGGCTAACATCTTCCTCAGTCCCCTGGAACACCAATTTCCCCAACGCTTCCTACAGAAAGGACCAGACACTCTTGTAATTGTACCAGAATGTAATTCTTTTATATCTATTGCAGAGGCAGTGACAGAGAGATCATCTCTTTAATGGAAGTTAATGTATTATTTTAAGACACAAGCCTGATTCCATTTATTCTAAGGCCTACTTTACAGGCTCTGACATTGTCAAGGGGCCATAATATAAGTGAGAAACAGGTTCTATGTTCTCACTATATAATACTGGTTAGTATAGGAAGGAGTGGGAAATATTTCTCTTTTGGTCTTGACATAATGACGTGTAAAAAGCTATGATTCAAAGAGGTTTGAAACAGGTAAGCCTCAGCTGCATCTGAAAAAGCCACATTCTAAGGTGACCTGATGCCTCAGGGGCTGACAGATGGGTCTTATGAGTTTGGTTAAAGACACCGTGAAACACCCTGACAAACAAATAAAAAGAACTTGCAAGAATGTGGTATAATAATGCTAAAGGGAAGCAGTTACTTAGTCTAATGCACCATTCTGGGATCCTAGGAGTCTGGGGATCCACAGGTCTCCAAAGGGTAGATAAAGAAACCGTGTCCTGACACAAGCCTATTCTGGAACACATTGTTATATATACTCTATATATTAATGGAGTGGAAAAGAGATGAGAGTTCCCAGCTCTCAACTGTCTCTAAAAATTCAGGTCTATATGACTGAAAGGGGCCTGTTTTCAAGAGATATGTCAGATGGCATGGACTTTCACAACCACCCATCTATAGAGACCTTGATACAAGATGATGAAAACCTCATATAGGAGATGATTTGGTGAGATTCCCATTATTTTGGACTAAAATTACTTCTTTTGAACTTGAAGAAAAACTTCAGCTCTAGTTCATTCTTGTAACTAAGTACCACCGTAGCTTAACCTGGATTCAAACACAGCTTTTCCTGTTCACTTTTTACTTCTGCCAAAATTTAACAATCACATGTTATTGCCCTGGCTCTTTAGTATTACTACCAATAGAAAAAGTATATAAATATGAATTATTTTTAAAATTGCTCACAGCTGGTAGAAAAACCTGAGAACTGGGTGGATGCAGCAATAGAAATTGTCACTTTTCTCTTGTTGACACAAACCATTACAACATGGCATACAAAATTAACATGTAACATGAGCTAGTTGGTTGAGAAAACAATGCCACTATCGTCGATGCTTATAATAGTAGCATTCCCTGCACATTTTCTCATGGTCATTGCTATGATTCTCACACAAGCTCATTACACTCAGGTGCATTCCGATTCTAAGTGTCATTTACATGAAAGCACCAGAAGCATTTGTAGAGGCCAGACATAACAGGACTCCCAACATACCTCATACACCTCTGCCAAAATCCTGCCTGTAACATCAGCTATCTGAAAACAGAGCTAAGACTAACAAATACATATAACGCCTCCACAATCAAACTGCCAATGAACCTGCTTTATATTCTATCCTACAGAATTATTTTACTTCAAGAATAAGTTCAACTTACACACAGCTATGAAACTCAGTTATGTTCAACCAGTTCAACTCACACGTAGCTATGAAAAATTCATTAATCAGACATAACAGTCACAATCTAATTCTCTTAGACTGGGAACCAGAGTTACATGTCAAGTTCTACATTTGGTAGTGTTTTCCCATGTCACCACATGTCTCAGTATCTCCACTTGTAACAGAGATAACACATCTCTCTCTCTCCCCCTCAGTATGGGTAAGGAGAATATGCAATTTGGAAATGAGTAGGGATGTTTGGGATCAGTTTTAAATCCTAAATGATTGTCTGGCTCAGTTTGTTTTACAAACCCAAAATACACAGTAGATGCTTTTGCAATTCCATGGATGTGATGGGACTTGGGGACTGCAAAGAGAGTTGTCTTTCACAAGATTGTTGACAAAGCTACAAAATGAAATCTAAACAGCTCATCCATCAGTCGTAACTTTTGAGTGGCAGATCAACATTTCACTGGACAAAACAGCATCAATAATCTAATCTGAGAAGCAGTTAAAACCACAAAGCAGCACATAAAGTAGGAGCTTGATTCTCACAAAATAAAGCTGAGAGACCCACGAACATATTGAAAAGAACTGGTAAGATAAGAGCCCATCAGACCCTCTCAATTATTGCAGTACCACCAGACAAAATAGTCTAATTCTCAGTTCTTGTCCAAGGCATGTGTTGAAACATATAGTGCACTCTTTGCTCAGCATGGCACATTACAGCACACACAATCTCTCATTTCCCACACCAGCCATTAATGCAGCCATTTCACTAATACTGAATTTGAAATGAGGACTTCCACTTACGAGAAGTCCCCACAGATCAGAAATATTTATGATAGCATTTATGCTCAAAGCTTCATGTTGTCTCATAAAAGCAAGGGTTTATTTGGCCTCCTAACTCCCCATAGAAAGAACAAGTAAATTCAAAATTAGCTAAATGTGGTTTTAAATGGCAAGCACAGAGAGATTCTTCCTTCCCACTGGACAGAGAAAGAAGTTAAAGGATTTCATGTTTTTTATGATGCCAAACACAACCACAGTGGTTTTTCTGGTCTGTTGTTGGGCTGGGGGGGGGGGGGGGGGGGGGTTTTTTTTTTTTTTTTTTTTTTTTTGTGGGGGG